GTCCCTAAAGTCACTATTCGGTATTGAAGTAGATTACAGGCAATTTATTGATATGCTCACTATGGTGACATCCAAACCCTGGTGAATGCACAAGTTCACCATCCTGGAGCGATGACTGAACCTCTAGGCCCCCGAATACAAACTAGTTTCAGGACCAGAGCTTTCCTTTTGAGTTCATCCTCTGAGGTCACTGGGTCAGAGAGGGAAAGGAGAAAGGAGGTTTGGATGCCGAGTTCACCAGTCCGGCTCCTGGTCCCACCATTGCACTGACCTTGCTTGCGAGGAGACCCCTCAACCCCAGCCCAAGGAAGCCCACTGCATACCTCAGTCCTTTCCCACTCGATCTTTCAGCAGCGGGTGTCACCACTGGCCACTTCCTCCTTGCAAGATACGCCCACGCGTCATGTTCTCTCCTCTTGGGGGACCCTCCTCCCTTTCTCCTTCTCCCCTTCTTCATCCATCCTACATCTGGGTGTGAGGGTTCTGTTGACCTCTTCCTGTCTCACCTTCACTTTTCCTGGGCAGTTTCGCCTACTCAGAACTTCACTTACACACACTGACTCATTTTTCTCCTTCGCTCGAATTCCAGCCAGCGCGACAATTCTACTTTGGTTTCTCAGAGTCTCAGCTGACTCAAGGGGCCTAAACCAGAAGCTTCTTCCCCTAAACCTGCTTCCTCTCCAGTGGTGGCCTCACTGTCTGCTCTGCTCTGCAAACCTTCATCCCTCCCCTGCTCACCATGTCCTGGCTATTCTGGGAACGAAAAATTTCTCAGAGCACTGTCATTGTCACTGTCTCCCGCCTCTGCCCTGCTCTAAGCCCCATCACTTCTCACCTGTTCACGGGCTCTTCACTGTCTCCTTGCACCTGTTTTTACCTTTTCTGAGCCATTCTATGTCCTGTCACCATCGTGAGCTTTCAGAATTTCAGATGACATTGCAGCCTGCCCAGATTCCTTCCAGTGGCTAACCCCTGACCCAGAAGGGCCAGCTTCTAACTGTCTGGCCTTGGTTCCACAAGTTTGACCAACAGGCAAGCCACACTGTCTTTCAGATCCTTATGTGGCCTAAGTTGTAGCTGTGTGACATCCCCGGTCCCCACCGGCCACTGCCCCCTTATCTCCCAGTCCCCTGCCCCGCCCCACCATTTGCTCTGCCCCCAGGGTCTGGTCAGACCTTACTCCACCCTCCAGGACTCAGCTCAAGGTGACTTCCTTAGGGCTTTTTCTCTGAGGCAGTGTAATCTCTTGAATGTGAAGGGTTTATTCATGATATTACTTTATTGTTTTTAATTTATAATTATTTTATTATTGTTGTTTTTTAAAATTTGCTATAGGGCATGTGTACTCACCAGAGAGGCCGGGGTAGGGGGTGAGAAAGTAAGCCCCCAGGTCCAGGACTCAAACTGTAGTTAGTCATGTGGGGAGGGTTTGAACTGCTGTCAGTCGCATGGTAGTCCCGTGCCTCGACCACCACACCACCTGCTGGTTCCACCCCCCATTTATTTAATTGAGAGAATTGCCACTATAGTAAAGCAGTACTTAATTAGAAAATTCTTGTGGAAAATATCTGGTGACATTATCAAAGAAAATTTAGGGGCCAGCAGAAGGCGTGGAGGTTAAGTGCTAGACTCCTACTTTGTGGCTGGAGTCCTGGACTGGGCGGCTTGAAAATCACGCAGGACGCATGTGGCTAAGATCCTGAGAAGAGAATGGAAGAGAAGAGATTGAGGCATGGCCATCCCTGCTGGGGTATGATTTCTCACGTTCTCCCACCCCAGTCCCCAGCCAGCGCACATACGCTATGGCAAAAACCTAAATAAAATAAAATAAAATAAAATATTTGGAGAAAGAGGAGTGGTATCCTGACTATTATGATTGTGTGGCCCCCAGTATTATAATCATCTGCTGGATCAGTGGAACAAGAATGGGCAGGGCAGAAGGGAAATCTATTATGTGTTTTTCTGTGATATTTTTGTCTTCTTTATTACAAATCTCTTACTTTCTTCTGTGGAATAAAAAGGTCAGTACCTGGTTGTAGTGTTTCTGATGGGGTCACACATAGAAGGGGCTAGGCTGCTGAGGACAGGGTTAACCTCTGCCAAACTAGCATTCCCTCCTGCCCTCTTTTCCTAGATATACTCTCAGATACGTCAGATTAGAATGCCTTCCTTGATTTTCTGTGTTTTGTTTTAAAATGTTTCGTCAGCCTAGGAAACATGCTTTACTCACATCTTGGCAGCTCTTATGGAATGCCTACCTTGCCCAAGGCCTGGGGCTGGAGGGATAACAAACACTTCCACATAAACAAGAGACTGCAGGCCTGATGCATTGTTCTCATGTTCTGTTTGATTTATCTATTTTATCTTTCTGTGTCTATTGACATGAGAAGACATTAAGCAGTTACTTAGCAATTCTGAAAGAAATTTCAGGGGGCTTTAGATACACAGGGCAATTGAACCATGGATCTTCTGGGAAGAGCCAGGAAAATCTCCCTAGGGAAAAGACTTCTGGCTTGAGTGTTGAATGTAATTCATTAACTTAAATCTCACCTCCCTTTTTATTCTCCTTTCTTTTCTAGTCTTTTCATCTCTCTCTTTACCCTCACTAACCACCTGGGTAATAATCATTTTCCACTCACGAGCAACTGACAGATAGTTCGTAAAGAAAGTTATAGTGATACTGGAGTTACAGCCTGCTCCATCCCAAGAAACGAAACTTACTGAAGGACAGTTAGCTTTTTATTGAATTGTGGTAAGAGGGCTGACTCTGTAGCCTCCTGGTTATGGGGAACTGGATCCCACATGGTGACTCTGGTTTGAAACTCAGCCCCAGCAACTTGAAAACCATACTGGGCACATGGGTGTGCCTCCCCCGAGTCCAGACAGGGTGAAGAAATGGAGAAGGAATTGCAGCATGACCACGCTCCATTGAGAGTGCTTTCTCTCTCTCTTTCGCTGTCTCTTTGCCTCTCTCTGGCAAGCACATGCACCCTCTCACAATGAAAATGAATAAATAAATAAAAGAAAGGAAAAGAGGTTGGAGAAAGCTGTTCTTTACAAGCCAAAATTACCACTTGCTTTTATGTTTTCAGCAACTCAAGCATCCCAACCTGGTCAACCTACTGGAAGTCTTCAGGAGGAAACGAAGGCTTCACCTGGTGTTTGAGTACTGTGACCACACGGTTCTCCATGAACTGGACAGATACCAGAGAGGGTGAGTGAGTGTCCCGAGCCAACAAAGCAAAACAAAAGCACACCAGGATTTGTGGGGTAGAAGTAGCGGTGACTTTTAGATGTGGTGAGAACTGCCAATATTTGACGACATGCTCTAAATGCTGGGGCTGACAGCAGAGGAATGTCCAAAAGTTGTAAAAGAGATCATCAATGGTCATTTTCCTGAAGACACCAGCAGCAGAATTATTAGACTGACCTTGATTTCTTTGGTACATTATCTTTGCATAAAAGCGACCTCAGTCTCTAAAAAAGAAAAGGGATTGCGGCCTGGCCATCATCCTAGTTATTCCATGCCTGAGGAGGGAAGCCATAGGACTTGGAGGCTGAAAGGAAGAGTCCCCAGGTAATGGCTGATAGGAAATTTAAGGCTAAAACAAGCATGGTATTTCATCTGAATCCAGGTGTCTCGCCTGCTGTGTTAATCAGGACTTCTTTGGTTAATAGTGACAAAAATTCAATTGAAATAAGCACGAATGGAAAACAAACATATTGGTGGCTGTAAGGGGGAAGGATGGGCTGACTCTGGAACCTCTCTTGATCTTTTCTTTCTTTGTTTTTGTTTTGGTTTGGTTTGGTTGTTCTTTTTTTCCCTTGTTTTTGTTTGTTTGGTTTTTTAGAGTTTTTTACTATAGGGTGTGTGTGCTCACCAGGGAGACAAAAAGTGAGAAATCATCCCCCCAGGGGTGATGGCCAGGCCGCAATCCCTTCTTCATTCTCTTCTCAGGTTTTTGACATGCACGCATATGTGCCTAGCATGAGTTTCAAGCCACCAAGTCCAGGACTTTGAACCACTGTCACCCATGAGAGAGTCTAGCGCCTTAATCACTATGCCACCTGTTGACCGCTCCCCTCGATCTTATCACACATCTCTCTGTAGCATGTGTGACACATTTATATGTTTAGAATAAGGCTCGGTGAGTAGACAGGGCCTTGGTCTAAAAAATGAAGATCGGAGGGCAGGATTCCTTCTGCAGTTGAGGGTAGCCCCCTGCCAGGGTGAGCAGAATGCAAGCTGAAGCTCTACTCCCTCTTGTCTATCGATCCGTGTAGCTGCTCTGGAAGAAAAGAAGTTCTGGAAGGTGGCATCTGAATATGAAGTCTGTTGAAACACTGATGGGTCAGCTCGGGTGATGTAACTCCCTAGGGAGAGGGTAGAATGATTAGCAGGCCCTGGGAGATAGTACTCAAAGAAGCTGCAGTGGAGGAGATAGCCTTAGAGCTGAAAGGAGGGCAGGCTTTACAGAAGTCGAGCCTGGACAAAGAGTAGCTCATTCTCTGTTCTGTTCCTGGGAGCCTAACTTCAGCTAGGGGATTATATGAAGCCTGGTTGTAGGTCAGAGCCGTGGAATGGTGTCCCCGTCCCTGTTCACATTCACACGTCCCTGGCTGGCTGCTAAGGCTGTTCTAGCATCTCCTTCAAGCCTTGGCCAAGGGCTTGCTGTGCCTCGTGGTGCTGGTTATTTATGATCCGCCATGACCTCTAGGCAAATAGGATTAAAGTGACTTGTGGTTTGCTAGTGGCCATGGCACAGGCTTTTCACGTTCCAGAACATTAATTTACATAGCTGGAGAAAGCTCAGAGGACAGACCCCCTCTTCAGAAAGTTGTTGATACATAGATAGTGTGTATTTGAAGGAGAAACCACTTAGTATGTTGATAGCTGCTCTTTTTGACAGCTCAAAAGTGACAGTTCAATTAAACTTGTTAGTATAAGTCACTCATGTCTCTGCGGTACTAGGGAGATGTTGCAGGGAACTCAGTGAAGCATGTCAGGCTGAGTGACGTGGGAACACAAATCTGTGGTGGTCCAAAGCAATCAGGAGTCCATTGGTTTTCACATGTAGTTTAAGCAGAAGAAGGATAGGCCAAGGGTGACCAGAGTTTTGAAAGTTTTTTTAAAGTTCACTGGTAAAAATATGTTATATATGTTCTAGGAAATGGAAAAATGTTCTCATATGGCAGTAAATTAGGAAAGGAAAAAACCAGTAGATGAGAGCGTGGCTAATTATAAGCAAGTCATTTCCAAAGGACAAATGTCATGGCTTGTCAAGTGTAAGATTTACTTAAAGAGCACTATTAAATGAGCAAGGCTTTTTATTATTTGTAAATTGTTTGCTATACAGCACATACACTTGTCAGAGGCATAGAAAGAGAGAGAGTGAGAAAGCACGCCTAGGGGGAGGTGCCATGCCACAGACTCTTCTTCCTCCATTTTCTTCTCAGGGTTTTGGGCGTGTATGCATGCCCACATGCACGTGTGTCCAGCACATTTTTTCTTTTTCTTTTTTTTGGAGAGATGTTCACTGTAGGGCGCGTGCGCTCGCCAGACAGACAGAGAGAGACATAGAGACAGAAAGCGAGAAATCACCCCCCAGGGGGGATGGTCACGCCGCAATCCCTTCTCCTCCATTCTCCTCTCGGGATCTTGGGCACGCACGCACACGCGCCCGGCGTGAGTTTTAAGCCACCGGGTCCGGGACACGCACTGCGGTCGACTACGTGGGAGTCCAGCGACATAGCCATTACGCTAACTGCTGGTTCCCTCTAGCACATTTTTCAAGTCTCCAGGCCTGGGACTTGAAAACTGCCCAGTTGGGACTGAGGGATCCAGCCACCTTAACCTCCATTGTCACCTGCTTGTCCCCCACAAACCTTTTTTCCTCTCTTTTTATTTTTTAAGGTTTTTGCCATAGTGCATGTGGACTTGTCAGAGAGAGACAGTAAAAGGGAAAATGAGAAATCACCCCTCATGGGGGATGCTCACACCACCATCCTTTCCCCATTCTCCTCTCAGGATCCTGGGCAAGCACTCACACATGCCAGGTGTGGCTTCCAAGCCACCAGGGTTCAAACCACTGTTGGCCATGTGGGAGTTCAGCACCTTAACCACTACGCTGCCTGCTGGCCCCCCAAGTTTTTCTTTTTAAGTGCTTTTCTTTTTTTTTTTTTTGATTGCCTGTGGGTTCACGCACTTACCAGAGAGAGAAAGAGAGAAAACACCCCTCAGTTGAGCACATTCACACCACAATCCTATTCCCTCCATTTTCCCCATGTCATCAGAATTTAGGGCATGCACATACACATACCTGGCATGTTTTTCAAGTCACCAGGAACTTGAACCATAGTTGGCCACGTGGTATCAGAGTTTCTGCACGTAGCACTTAACTGCTACACCATGTGACTGGCCCCAGTGATCAAGTTTTTAAAAATTTTTTTTTATAAAAACTATTTTTGGGGGGACCAGCTGTTAGTGTAATGGCTATGTCACTGGACTCCCATGTAGTTGATCACAGTTCACTTCCCGGACCCAGTGGCTCAAGATTCACACCGGGCACGTGTGTGTGCGTGCCCAAGATCCTGAGAGGAGAATGGAGGAGAAGGGACTGTGGCGTGGCCATCCCCCCTGGGGGTGATTTCTTGCTTTCTGTCTATCTCTCTCTGTCTGGCGAGCTCACGTGCCCTATAGCAAAAAAAAAAAAAAACCAACAAACAAAAAAACTCTCAGAAAAAAAAAACTGTTTATTTTATCTATTATTATTATTATTTTAAAGTTTGCTATAGGGCACATGTGCTCATCAGAGAGAGAAAGCGATAAAATGAGAAAGCAAGCCGCCAGGTCTGGGATCAAACTGTGGTTAGCCCTGTGGGAGTCCAGTGCCACAATCACTGCTCCACCTGCTGGCCCCATAAGATTTATTCTTAACCAAGTTAATATATTTATATTGAAGCTTAAGAATTTTTTGTTTGTTTTAAAAATAAAAGTCTTTTCCATTATACTGAATATTTGTCAATTCTCCAATCTATTTTATTTTTATTTTTTTAAATAATTATTTTATTCAATTATTTATTTATTTATTTATTTATTTTGACTAGAGAAGGACAGAAAGAGAGAGAGAGAAAGTGAGAAAGCAAGCTACCAGGTCTGGGACTAGAACCATGGTCAGCCATGTGGGAATCCAGCGCCCTTAACCACCACGCCACCTACTGGCCCTGTCCAATCTATGTTAAATGTAACTTGAAATTTTTGCTTGTCATCATTAAGGAGTAAATGTTATTTAAACCAAAGATTTTGAAACTCATAGGCAAGCTTTCTGTTTTCAATTTAGAGCTATCATACTATGAAATAAACTGGTGTAAGTACATTCCCAGTACAAAAGGTGAGCCAGCATCTCTGTGTGACCTGGGGCAAGTGACTTAGAGCTGTACAATTGAGAGTTAGGGCTAGGTAAAGTTTAAGAGGGCCTCCAGGTCTGTTATGCTCTGAGCTGATGATCTTGTGCCCTAGGGATCCAAGACTTCAGTTACCCTTTAGTTTTATGTTCAAGCTGTTAGACAATACCGACAAAGGGTAAGGTGCTGAGGTGGTGTCTCCGCATCTGGTCCAGGTCGGTACACTTACCCTGCAGATACCCTGTGGGCCAATTAGCTCACTTTCAAAACAACTTGTGTAGTTTTTCCTTTCCTAATAAAACCCTAAATTTGCCTAAACCCACCCTGACCTTTGTACGTGTCCTGGATTGCAATCCTAATTTTTATTTCCAAATAAAACCTTTGTATTAAAAATAGTTCACTGATTACTTATTATATTTCTAAGTACAGATGTCTTTGTTTTTTGGAGAGGTTTTTACTAAGGACACGTGCACTCACCAGAAAGACAGAGAGTGACAGAGAGACAGAAAGTGAGAAATCACCCCCCAGGAGAGATGGCCATGCCACAATCCCTTCTCCTCCATTCTCCTCTCAGGATCTTGGGCACGCACGCATATGCCCCTGGCATGAGCTTAAGCCACCGGGTCTGGGACTCGAACCGTGGTCAATTACATGGGAGTCCAGCAACATAGCAATTCTGTCAACTGCTGTTCCCATCTAAGTACAGATTTCTGAAATACAAAGTTGATCATGTCACTTCCTACATAAAAATCCTTTAATAGCTCCCCAAAGCATACTGGCATAGTGAAAACCCTAGCATGGGATACAAGA